ATCACCAACGTGGGTTATTGTGTTACAACGTCATTTGGTTTTTATCACCGACGTGGATTTCATTTACAACGTGTTTTCTAAAGTAATTCCCGTCGTTGTTTACATATACAACGTCAACCTTTTTAAGCTAACCGCCGTTGTATGTCTTTAAGATGTCTATATGTTTGTACTAACGGACGTAGTATATCGGTACACCTATATAATGAAGTGGATTTTCTCATCTCATATTTGTACGTAAACCGTCGTGTTTTTCATTTTACATGGCGTTTTTACGAATTGCTGTCGATGTTTTATTTCCCGCTACAGAAAGACAGCGATTGTTTATACTTGTGAGACATGTAAATGTGAATGAGACGTCGGTTTTTGGAAAGTAAATTTATTTTTCATGATTTACTCTCGTTGTAATTCATTTTAAAACCTAAATATCCTAAACAAAAAAAAAAGGTCCAAAAAAAAAAAATATCTCATAGGCCAATTTAGTCCTTGTGTTTTCAATTTGGCCAATTTGATCCTTGTGTTTGTATATATTAGTCAATGTGGTCTATTCCCTTAAAAATATAAAATATTTAAAATTAATTAAAAGAACTATAATTGATTATAATGGAATTTTTTTTTATTATAAATTTCACCTTCCTTAATTTCACGCACACACCTCAACCACCTCCCAAACCCAGCCACCCTCACCACCACCACTCCAACCCCAAACCCATAGCCACCCTCACCATCATTCCAACCCCACCTAAACCACAACAACTCTCTCTCTCTCTCTCGGCTTCCTCTCTGACAAATCACGAAGATCTTCATAGTTCCTCTCTGACTAAATTGGCCGATAAGGAAAAGCACAGGGACCATTTTGACATTTAAGCGTAAATTAAAATATACCTAAACATTGTTATAATAAATTACATCAATTATCATTCGGTAATTGTTTATTACCAATTCTGCCCACTCTAGCCTGACTTCGTCAATATCTTTTTGTGTATACACTACTGGTTCTTTTTTCTTTTCAAACTGCAAAATAAACGAAAAACCTAACGTGTTAGAAGGATAAAAATGACGGTTTTTAAAGAATAAGTCATTGTAGTAAAATAAAGAAATTATATTTTAAATTTTGCCTTTTACCTTCTTCTCAAATGCTAGGGCTGGATCATGAATTATATCTCTCATGAAACGCATTATGTAAAACCCACACTCTACACTTGTTGGTTGTTGAGGAGTGCCTTGTAGATTTTTCCATATGGCTCCTGCTTTACGTGAGTGTTTGCCTACATGAGAGTTATACGCTCTGATTGAACTGATTAAAGAAAACAAAAAGGGTTAATGTCAGAACGAAAAATCTAAAAAATAAAAAATAACCGTCGTGGTAAATCAGTTAAGACGACAGAGTTTTAAAAAATGTGACGTAGTATAACCAAAAGTCGTATATAACATTATGTAACATTATAACGTTTAGAGAAATTACGACGATGGTTTAGAGAAATTACTGACGTGGTAAATTTTTCAAACGTCGGTATTAAAGTACCGCCGTTGTATTTTCATTATAATGTCGGTATTATGAAAAAACAGTCGTATAATTCAATTGCCCGTATTAAAAAAAAACTTAGATTTGAATAAATCAACTTACCTCATGTACACTGCAATCACTGTGGCTCCAATCTCAACCATGGAACCAAACTGTAAAATGTCTTCACCCAAGAGGAAGGTATCATGATCAATGCCAAACACTTCCTCTAGAATATGAACTTTCACAGTCTTGTTAGCAGGTAGCAACTTGGTCTGGACAAATTGGCATAGTGCTAACAGAGGAGGTGACATGTCTAGCTTTGAGAGATCCTGTTACAAGAAATAAATAAAGAATTATAAGTTAGTTTGTATACCAAGTAAAATAAACAACTCTAACTAAACCAAACAAACAGACATGGTATATAATATAAACGACGGTTTCTAGAACATACCGATGGAGGAAAGGTTATAGACGACGGTTACCGTCGTTGTATAAATGTTCTAACGTCGTTATAATATAGAAAACTCATCGAATTAAAATGCAGTGAATGCTTTAATGAAACAGACGACGGAAAAAAAAAAGACGTGGTATTTCACTGACAACGACGATTCTTGAAAGAAATAGACGTCGGTAAGTATATACCATCGTTTGTTTGAAACATTAACGTCGGATATTTAAAAGAACGATGTCTATTTAAAATTTTAAAAGCAGAAAACGAAAATATCAGAGATTTTACCTTTTCATCTTGCTGTTTTTCAGCAGTATCAGCATCAAGCTTTGAATCTTCTTCCCCCATAACTAGGGGTCTGGCATTAGTGGCTACAGAGTAGCTTGCCTTGTCAGACATGGGATTTTTGGGGCTTTGTTCGTGAGGTTGTACATGAATTGGGGTAATTGGGGTAATTGGTGTTTTCAGCATGTTGGGATCAAAATTAGGAATTAGTTGACGGAATTGGGCCAACATAATTTCCCTCTCTGCTCTGACTGCTTCCAAAACATTTTCCCTTGACCTAGCCTCCATCCTCAATGTCTCTTCTCTGACTGCCTCCATAAGACTTTCCTTCAATTTGTCAGCAAATTTTACTTTCTGCTGTCTCGGAAAATTGAAGAATTGAGTTGGGGAAACGCCAGCTCCAACTCCTCTAACTCTCCCACCATGCTCGGGGGTTCCCAAAGACAGAGTCAAAATATCATTGCTCTCGGATACAGTCAAAGTGCCCTCGGAGACTTGTTTTTGCAAATCATCCTAAAGGAGAGAGAGATGGTAAAACAGATAAATCAACCGACATAATAACTTAGTGACAACGACAGTTTTTTTTAAAAACAGACATAGTATTGATTTCACATGTTTGCATTACAATACCGCCGTTGTGTATCAATTCCAACGTTAGTAAAAAAAACTATCGTACATTCAAAAGCTATAAACAGATAAATAGAAATAAATCAAAAACCTGTACCATCCTAGTAATTCAATTACGACGACGGACTTTTTACAAAACCGACTTAGTACATAATTTCAAACGGCGGTAGTAACATACCGTCGTTGTATATCAATTCTAACGTCTACATGTGATAAAACCGTCATAAAATTTAATGCAGAGGTGAAAAAATTAACAAAAATATGCATTCTATTCTAGAAATTGTGCACCACAAATTTCAGAGAAATAGATGGAGAGAGGGAGAGTGTGTGCGTGAGTAAATGAACGTAGTTCTAAAAGTTTAAAAAAAGACGGCCGTCTCAGGAATATAAACCGTCATAGTAATTCAATCTAGACGTCTAATTCATGCAAAAACCAACATTCTATTGTCTTTTACACGGCGTTAAATAGAAACCATCGTGATGTTCAAGTTATAACGACGGTTTTTTAACATGCGACGTATATACGAAAAAAAACACTATGTTTTCCAAATTTAGAACAGAGTTAGTAAGACTTATGATTAATTTTTCCTTCTATGCAACCTTTGGATCAGGGATGTTTCCTGTTTTATCTTCTCTTGCCTTCTTCGATAGCAGAGATCGATCGATTTCTTCACCGGGCATGGTTTCTTCCAATTGGTCCTCCAAACCAACTACCCTTTTCTAGACAACCTATGGTTGTACTCCAATTTTTCCCTTCTCTGTTTCCCTTCTCAAAATCTGGGGATAACCTTGAAGCTACAAAGGCATCCCATTGCGATTTCTCTATGAACTTATAAAGCTGAGGGGGTTCTTTTAACTTCTCCTTGTCATGTGCGAATGGAAGGATATACTGCCTAGTTACGTTGTACTTGAAATCCTTCCATTTTTTGGCGGCAGACGATAGGACCATCTTCTTGCACCCTTCCCCAACAACAAATCCATTTGAATAGCTTCCCAAATCTACTCCTTCAGGTCCTTGGGCAATAGAGTCCATTTCTGTCCACAAGAGGGACTCTGGTGCGTGCCAAAACACCAATGTAAGACTGCATCTCAACAGCAACCTTGCCATGTGGTCTGCTCCTTTTATTGAACTCAACCACAAGCTTAATCTTCTGAATTTTCCTTTTCACAACATGGCTCATTGTGTTGATACCACGAGTCGATTTTGGCTCCTCAACAAATGTGGCTGAGCTCGGGGCTTTATCAAAGGTTGAAGAAAATCTCATCCTCTTCGCGGGTTTGCTTTGAATTGATTTGGCTTCATCTATTTGAGCCTTTGAAATTGCAACAAAGTCCTTGCTAGGACCTTTTGACATTTGAGCTTCCTTGCTTTGAGATTTTGAAACCATTTTTAATTAATCTGCAAGAAAAACAACGATGGTTAATTAAAACGATCGACGTAAAATTAAATAAACGACGTCGAAAAAAAGACAAACTTAATATTGAATTTAGGACGACGGTTTCAAAACAACACTGACGTCGTACAAAAATACCATGACATTATATAAAACAACCGACGTCTTATTAACATTTCTCACCAAAAATGGTATTCAATAGGACGATGGTTTTATGTCATTCATGTCGTATTAATTGTTACACCACGTTGGTTATTAAGACTAAAAACTAATGTGGATTACAAATTAACACGTCTGAAACAAAAGGCAAATGTCGTCTCACTGAGAGGTGATACAGGAAAAAGGTAGAGTTCTTTCTCGCAAGAGACGACGGTTTTATTTTGATTCCGACGTATTAATTGCCACACCGTGACGGTTATTAACCACCGTCGTGCAGTATGCATTAGATAGAATTTAACTACCGTCGTGGTGTGTCGATTCTAACGTCGTAAACAAGACAGAACTGTCGTCTTCAGGCGTTGTGAGGTTAATGGACAAATAAATTTAATCAAACCAGTGAAAGATTTTGTCTTTTTGACAGAGTCTTGTTTCCAAACTCGTTCTTTCAAAACCCTCATCAAATGAAACTGAAAAAAGTGAAAAGAGATTGAGAAAAAACCTTTGGCGTGCAAAGAAAGTTTCCTTCCGACGTTAACTTTGGTGATTTGCGGACGAAGACGATGACGATGACAAGATTCAGACGATGATGATTACGAAGCTGCTTTTGGGAACTGAGAGGGAAACTGAGATATTTTATCGGTGAGAGAGAACGTAGAACATTTAGGTCAGGTGAAGAAAAAATTTATATACATTCCCAGAGTTCAATAACACAACGGTTGTATTAAAACCGCCGTAGTATGTCATTATAACGACTCAAAAATAGTAGGAACCGACGTGGTTTTTAATAAAGCCAAACGACTTTTGGAATTCCGAAACCGACGTGGGTATTCAAGTTTTACACGACAGAAGTTTACTTTTAACGACCTGATATTAAATGTTATGACGTTGCTTATTTATCTAAACCGTCGTTGTATTTTTTAAGTCAACGACCATTAGCTTTAGGAAACTGACGTGGTTATTTAAATTCAACATTACCTTGTTTTATGCATAACTGACGTTGTTAGTTTTAAAGGTCGTTGCCTTAATTTACGAAAATTTAACCGACGTCGATTATTACAATTTGATGTCGCTACGTTTAATCGAACTGACGTGGATAATGAAGATATTTTCTATAAATATGATTTTTTCACGCGTTCTTTAACTTTCAGTTTTCAATTAGGGTACCAACTTCTTCTTGCCCTTGGCTCAGTCTCATCAACTTCTAAAAAATTGTCTTTTTGAAAGCAAATGTGGACACTTTATTTTATTGATTCAATAGGTGATCTATGTTTTTAGTTGCGTTTTCTCCTTTATTTCACTCAAGACCAAGCGTGGTGCAGCCGCACTTGCCCGTTTGAAGGCATATGAGGGTGTTCAACCTCCTTATGATAAGATGAAGAGGATGGTCATTCCTGATGCTCTCAAGTGAGCTTTTCACACTCGTTTGTTGATTTTGATTACGTAGTTTTGTTATTTTTGTTAGGTTCTGTTTTTGTGAACTGAAAGGTTAATGTTTTTGGAAATTATCTGATTCCTGTACACAAATACTGTTTGTTGGGCAAGCTTTCATCTGATTCCTGTCACTAATGAATTTATCTTTGGCTAAGCAGGAGCTTGAGAACAAGAGGAAGGAGAGGGCCCAGCTTGCATACGAGAGGAAGAAACAATTGAACAAGCTGATGGTGAAGGCAGAAAAGGTTGGCGAGGAGAAACCTTTTAAATATTGCTCCTATTAAATATTGATCAGTAGAGATTTGCCTTTTAAGACGAAAATGTTGTTGAGGATTGACTTGAGAATTAAATTTTGTTTTGTGTTAAGATACTTGGTTGTTCTTTGTGATGGTTTTAAGTATTTTGGCAGTAGTTCTTTCTGATAGATATTAAGAAAGATATTACCAAAATAAAAAAAACAAATTTTTTTAAAAAGCAATAAACATAAGACGGCGGTTTACAGAGAAGGCAGACGTATAAATAGAAAAAATACGACGGTAATTTGAACTTAGGACATGGTAAATAAATACGACAGTAGTGTTGTAGGTACCGTCGTAGTACACTCCAAAATAATAAGTCGATAAATTAATCTCTTACGTCGGTGGATTCATACCTGCTGTCATTGTTTTTTGGTCAGATTTTAACTCTGAAGAAAACTTTTTTAATAAGATGATGCTTTTTTATTTGTGTGCGTCGTTTGTAAAAAACATTCAACAGGACCACCATTTTTTAGTTGTTTAAGTCACTTATCCACGACGGTGTTTTGTTACCGTCGTCTTTTAAAACACAACGACGGTTTTTTGTTCTACCGTCGTCTTTTTCACTTTTTGTAGTAGTGGTAGTGATTAATAATTCAAAGCAAACATGCATCCATTCATAAGCAAATTAATAAAATTACATATTCATGATATGGCTTATGGCCTCGCTCTAGCAATAGAGAGTTAGTTACACATATTCATAACTGAAATCATGGAGAAAAAGAATGAAAACACCTTAAAGTCGCAAAAACTCCAAAACCCTAGCAATTCCTCTCCACAATGTCACGTTCAAAAGCTCAAAAAAGAAGTGTCCTAAATTTGCTGTGAAAAATAACTTAAATACCTCCTAAAACCCAGCTGCCCAATCCCCACAAGGAAACTAGGTTAGAATAAAATAATATTAGGATATAAAGTCCAAAATGGATTAGGAGAATCTGCCCAGCCACGTTTTGGCCTCAAATCTCCTCCAAATCCAGCCCAAGATAGCTTTTTTTAAAGATAAAAACGTTCTGAACACCTTAACAAAAATGTGGAAGACCTTCATCCTCTTGCTGCTATGTTGTGGGGATGTCAAGACTACATAAACAAAAACTGGGTTTGTTCTATCCATCATCTATATCGTGAGTGCAATATGGTGGCGGATAAATTAGCTGAATTGGGTTCATATCTTGAGTTGGGTCAGTCAACCTTCCATGATCCTCCTGATAGTATTAGGTCTTTTCTTAGTGAAGATTTACTTGGAGTTTGTAGGCCTCGAGCCATTGTTTAATTTCTTTGTTGGGCATTAGCCCCGTTTCTTCACCAAAAAAAGAAATGTTCTGAACACTTCTCCAGAAGGCCACAAACCCATCTGAGGTCATGTTGGGCACTGCTCCTTTATTTTATTGCCAGAGAATAACTGCTTGGTAGAAAAATTTGAAATTTTGATACGATCAAGCTAAGTGACTAATGAACGTCCTCCAACTGGAATTACTCCAAAATTCGTCCATTTGATTATGTTTCGCTCCAGAGGAAGTCGAAAGTCTTATATTGAAAATATAATTCAAAGTATCAACATTCTTCCAAAATATGAACCAAAATATACTAAGAATAGGGTTAAATATATAATACAAAATATGCCCATCAGTGAGGATGATCAACTATGGTGAAGGAGTTGAGATAGTCTTCCAAGGGACAAGCATCATTGCAGATGAGAACCATCCAATGCATCTCCATGGTTTCATCTTCTATTTGGTTGGAATTGGTTCTGGGAATTTCAATAGTACGACGTCGCCTACGACCTACAATTTGGTTGATCCACCAAAAGTAAACACCATTGGAGTGCCAAAGAATGGATGGGCAACCATCAGATAATCCTGGTAAGTCTTAATATCAAATGCACATTCAATTAATTAAGGAGCAACCATAAAGCTAGGTTAACTAATGAAATGAATTATTTGAAAATGATTTTCAGGAGTATGGTTTATGCACTGAAACTTGGAAAGGCATTCCAGCTGGTGAATGGACACTGTGCTCATTGTGAGGAATGGAAATACCAGTGAAAGCACGATTCGTGGACCACCTGCTTATATGCCTCCTTGTTCCAACTCTTAAATTTAGAAATTTACTTTCTCTTCCATCAATCTCAATTTATATATTGTGGGAGCAAATATTTTGGTTAATTCATCAATTTGTGGGAGCAAATTTAGAAATTTACTTTCTCTTCCATCAATCTCAATTCATAGCACGCCACATGGAAATGAAGATTATTCCTTAAATTAATTAATTAAACTAATTTATTTGGTTAATTAATTAATATGGATAATATCTTAATTATAAGATATTATCTTTATTTAATAAGATAATATCATTAATTAGGATATTATTCTAATAAGGGGATAATATCTTAATTATAGGATATTATCTAATAATTAATGAGATAATATCATTAATTTAGATATTATCCTAATAAAGGGATATAATCAAGTCCAACTCAATCTCTACGAAACCCTAGCCCTGAGGCTCCTATAAATAGATGACTTCATTCACCATTCAAGGTACGACAAAAAACCCTACTTCTACACCTAGCTCCAAAACCCGAGAAAAATACTCGAAGCTCTCTCCCTCTCCACTCTCCACTCTCCATATTTTCTCCACACGGCTCCGGCCACTCGGTTCTCACCCTAGAGAAATCTCCGTACCCTTTTTAGCTATTGTTTCACCTAGATTCAATCGAACTAACTTAGGCATCAGAGGGCCTTTGGCCAACACCCCACAAGTGTGGTCTATTTACTCCAGTCTTTTTTTTACAAGAATCGAGGAAGAGAGAGAAGGAAGATCAAAGGGCGAAGGATTTAGAAGCTGTTGACTGCGCAAATCTCACGGCCTGGGGTTCCGGGCCGAGGGGATGTGCGTTAACACGTGGCTTCCTTCTTTTGGATGCGGTGTGGTTGTGCGCGGGCGTGCTAGCACGGTCTACCGTGCGTCGAGATGCGGTTTGGATAAAATGGTCTAGTGGTGTGCCTGTTTGAATTCGACTTCTAATCGAACGATTGTGGCCGAGAGAGGAACTGATCTCGGCCGTTAGGTTCACGGCCTGAGCTACAAGGCCGTTTAGTGGTGGTGTGGATGGTGGGTTTTGGGCGTTGCTCCGGCGCGTTGCTCAGTGAGCGACGGTCGTATGATATATGGGGTGAATGAAAGAGTAACAGAGATAGTGCTCCGGCGCCTTGAAAATCAAGGGTTGTATGATATATTGATGAACGGATTTTCCTTACAAACTAACACTACACCTAGGAAAGCAAATAAAGATATTGAAAGTGCATTACAGGAAAATATAATTTGCTCCGTGGGAGGCTTTGGTTTGGTGTTTGAACCCTTTGAATGTAGCTTGAACTTGGTATTTATAGGAAGAGTTTTTGGAGGAGTAATCGAGGCTGAAAATCTGCGTGGTGGAGCCTGATCAGAGTAAGTGGGTAGTCCAATCGACATTTGGGATCGTGAAGCATGGTGGTGTGACCCCATGAATCCTGGTAAATCTCGGCCGCCGCCCTGATCGTGGGTTCTGCGCCTCTGGCCGTGGGGACGAATTTAATGCCCTTGTTTGGTGGTTGGCGATCTGACCTCAATTTGTAAGAATGTTTGTGAGCATGTTGGCGCCTAACCACTCTGATTTCTGTCACCAAATCCTGACTTTAGTCACTTCCCTTCTTCCCTTGTGCATTAAATGCCCTTTTGCGGCTAGTGGGTTTGCTAGTCAGAGGCGTTACTTCATTAAATGAAGCGTGGGACCCTGCTGCCATGTGACGATTTGACTCTTAATATCTTCGGCCGTGTCCCCTTCGTCATTCAGCCTCGGCCTGACGATACCGTGGTTGTAAGGCCTAGATGACTATCCCTTTGCAGCTTTTCCTTTGTTTTGATGTAGGTAAAAGCGCTGCGTTTTGGATTGCGAACAGGTGCTGAGGCCAAGGGGGGAAAACCCCTTTGGTCGCGCGCGACCGTGATTTATTACGTACAAACAGAAGCGAATATTCTCCTTCGAGATTATTTGCACAAACATTTTGTGCTTTCATTGAGAGCACGAGTTATACTCAACGCGTGCTCAAGGAATCCATTCCTCATATTTTCCAATCCATCGAAGCCTTCCAAACAACCACGGTTGGAAGCAAGCGCACTAGGAGCAAGACCGCCGCGATTGCCCAAAGCTGGTCCTTCCACCATCCCGCGATCGACATGGTGGCACCACCACCTCTAGCCGCCATGAACCCGCAGCAAACCCTTGCTGCTGCACCACAAACCACCGTGCCACCTGCCGGACTCGCAGCTGGGACCACAGCCGACTTTGGCCCAATCGTGGAGCAACTTCAATCATTCCCTCCATTGCCTCCGCACTCGACACATGCTCCTGCTCACACCTCTAATGAAACCCTAGCCCGTGTGCAATTGGGCTCCACACACTTTTCTCCTCCCGATCCACGAAGTCAAGTAGACCTTAATCTGAGAGTTGACCAGCTAACTCAGAGAATGGACGACCAAAACAATTTGATGAGGCAACTCCTCAACCAAATAAACTTGGCTCAAAACCTTGGCCTTGGACAACAGGGCGAAGAGAGAAGGATGGATGAAGGCGCCAATATGCAGTTCGATGGGTACCGAGCAGGTCGAGCAGGAGTAAGCAGACAAGGAGATGGACAACAACGCACTACTACAAAAATTGAAATAGACGACGGGGAAACGCCGTCGTCTTTTTCTTTTTCAAACCGTCGTTAAATCGACAGTCGTCTTTTTGAAAGTCAAACTACGACGGTAATTCACCGTCGTCTATTATATGTAAAAACGACGGTTTTTAAAAGAACCGTCGTCTATTACATGTAAAGACGACACTTTTTCTAAAAAAACCGTCGTTATTGAATGTAAAGACTACACTTTTTTTTATAGAACCGTCGTCTATTAAATATAAAGACGACACTTTTTCTGAAAAAACCGTCGTCTATTTAATGTAAAGACGACACTTTTTCTGAAAAAACCGTCGTCTATTTAAATGTAAAGATGACACTTTTTCTTAAAAAACCGTCGTTTATTATATCTAAAGAGGTCTATTAAATCTAAAAAAGACGGTTTTGTTCCAAAAAATCGCCGTTTATTATCTGTAAAAATGATGTACTAATTTCATTTTAGATATCCTAAAAAATTATTTCTTTCATAAAACTTGAAGATTCAATTGTAATTACATTGTTTACCAATCTTGATTCCTACTATATCCATACAAAATACCATATTTATAACATTATACCCTATAATTACAAAATACCATATCCAAAGCATTAACCTATGGTTGTTGTATCTTCCACAATTTGTACTTGTTCTCCACA